GTGTGTGTGTGTGTGTGTACCCTTTCAGAGTCAAAGGAGAAGGGGGATGGAGAACTTTGGGAGGGAGGATCAGTATGGGGGAAACATTTAGGATGTAAATCAATAAATAATTTTAAAAGGCACATGCCACCTGGCTCTCATTTTCTCTTTCATTCGGAATCTAGCCAGTAATATATGTAAAAAGATGTGTTCACCTCTACAATATAACATGAAGGAATGGGTTTCTAAAGTAGCTATTTTTTCCTTTAAAAGACTTTAGTGAGGTTTTTGGTTTTTTTTTAATTTGTAGGAGTCTATGCTATGTGAGTGTGAGTGTGTATACCTGTGGAGTCCAGAAGAAGGTGCCAGATTTTCTGGAGCTGGTGTTACAGGCCATTGTGAGCAGATAAGCCTTGTTTCTGGGGACTAAACTTGTTTCCCCTCGAGAGCAGCATTCCCTCTTAAATGTTCTTAAAAGATAGCTTTCCTAAAAGCAAGTTGCAAGACTTTTGCCAAAGATATTTCAGTTGACTTTGAGGCTGCAAAAGTACAGTATCTTTTAGATAACCCCCCTTTTTTTTGGTTGTTGTTGGTTTTTTTTTTTTTTTTTCTAAGTTTCTCCAGAATAAAATGTGGAGTATCTGGAACAGGGGCTGTAAACTTTTCTCTGAAAATTTGACCTAGAGCTTTTCAGGTTTATTATAAAGAAAGAAGAATCAGCTAGATTGTCCTTTTTTTTTTTCCAAAGATTCTGATTCTTTTGGCTTAGGGTGGGTTGGACCACCATTTTAAAAAATGCACCACTTTGAGATGCGCTATACTTGTAAGAAATTTCATTCACAAGAATGAAAATGGTTCTTACTATGTGATTGTAATGGAGATGTAAGTGAAAGACATGGAACGCACAAGTAATGATAAATCTATAAGAAAGTCCTGTGGTTTGCAGTTTGGCTTTTCTCTTTACTGTCAAGAATAATAAGCGATGGGAGACTTTCTTTCATTTGTATTCTCAAAGGAAACATGGGTTATCGCATAATTCTAACACCATTGAAATCTAATTCCTTCTTTTTTTTTCTTTTTTTCTTTTTATTTCTTTGTTGTGTTGACTTTTTGACAGGGCTTGGCTATGTACCTCAGTTTTCTCTTGACCTTAATATGTAGGCCAGATTAACTTCAAACTCAAGATAATCCTAGTGCCTCAGCCTCCCGTGTACTTGCGTCTGGTTCATCCTTCAGTTCTATTTACTGGGTGTTTTGTCTATATGAAGCACTCTCAAAGAACCTGGAATTGTATTAAAGGAATAACAAGTCAAACTTGATTATTAGGATGTATTCTAGTCTTGGCACTCAGAGGTGGTCCACGGTGACAGCCTCTTCAGGGTAGGAAGTCTTAGTTTTATATTTCCCTAGTTATATTACACCCAGTAAAATTTAATGGGCATATGAGATTAATAATGGTCCACAAAGCCACTCTTAAGAGGTCAGCAGTACTGTTCAGTAACCCTATAATACAATCTACATACAGAATTTTAGTTTTCATGTTTTAAAAAAAATGGTTGAGCCGGGCAGTGGTGGCGCACACCTTTAATCCCAGCACTTGGGAGGCAGAGAGGTGGATTTCTGAGTTCGAGGCCAGCCTGGTCTACACCGTGAGTTCCAGGACAGCCAGTGCTACACAGAGAAACCCTATCTCGGAAAAACCAGAAAAAAAAATGGTTGAAAGTTTTCATAATAATCCGATTTAACTCAATCAAAATATTATTTTAACATGTAATCAGAATTTTAAAATTATGTACACTTCCTCATGCTATTATAAAATGTGTGCATGTTTTACAATTTGAGCTCATTTCAGGTAGGACCAACCACATTTAAAGTGCTCATAGTCATATAAAGACCATCATATTTTGAGCAAGTGCATCTGTAGCTTAAGGTGCCACCTTAACTAACATATAAGGAGGTTGGAGTCTGTTGCACTTCCAGCTTAACACCCCACTTTGCTGTCAGTTGTTCTCCCCTAGGAACTGCATGTGTTTTAATAATACTTGGAGAAATAAAGTGACTACTCAGGAATGAGTTAGGCATTTCTGTTTTCATGCTGAAGTATTATGGCAAAAATTTTAGAAGGTGAAATTATGTAACCAAAGAAATTAGGAGGGATCTATAGACGAGCTGGTAAGTTTTTAAGGAAAGGATTGAATAAGAAGGAAACTTGGGATGAGAGTACCAATACAGTGAGGGGATGTGGATCTCAAATATACTGGATGGTGCCGAGTGAGCTGTTTAGCCACATAGACAGTGATGAGCTAGGACTTCTTGGTACGCTCCATGTTCAAAATTAACTTATGATGACTCATAGGCTCAAGTGTTGCTAGAATCATAGAACTTCAAGAAGAAACTACAAGAGTAGATATTGACATTAGGAAGTGCTTTATTAAATAAGATGTCAGAAGCCCAAAACAAAAGAGAAAGCAGGTAAATTGGGCCTGATACAAGAAACGTTGGTGTTTGAAAGGACACCATCAAAAAAGTGAGACGATAACACAGAAGGAGAACACAGATTACATCTTGATAAGGACCTTTTTTGAAGTCTGTTGTACTCTTACAACTCAGTAATACAAAGATGTAACTCAGATGAGGAATGAACAAAAGATCTGACTAGACATTTTTTCAGAGATCTGTAAATGAACAGTAAGCACAGTGAAGAACTGCTTAGCATCATTAGTCATCAAGGAAATGTACCACCGAAGCCCAGTGAGCTCTCCCTCCATAACTGTTAGCATGGCTGCAAGGATAGACAGTAGAGTGTTGATAAGGATGTAGATACATTGCTGATATTAGTATAATATGATGCAGCCATCATATAAAGCAATTAAAGAATCTCAGAACGTAACTATATAGCTACCATGTGACCCAGCAATTCCATGTCTAGAAATATACCTGATAGTAAAACAGATATTCACTTAATGAGTGACATGTGAATGTTCACAGCAACTTTATTTATAATAGCCAGTAGTAGAGATAACACAAATACCCATTTGATAATGAATGATCAATAAGATGTGCTGCATCTACATAATAGAGTATTTAGCAATTAAAAATGGTATATTTTTAGAACTTATTTTTCTCTGTTAAGGCATACTATATTTGTACATGGTATAGTAACTGTCATAGCCCTCACTTCATTTGCATGCCCTTTAGTAGTGCACATACAGTGTCAATATGAAACTTGATAATGACTGTTCTAAAGACAACCCTGTTCTCCCACAAATACAACACAAGGCATTTATGCCAGGGAGACAAAACTGGGCTATTGGAAACCCATTGTTATTATGTACTTTATTTAATAACTATAAGGTTATTATTTAAATAACTTTGTGTATGTACAGATATGTGGCAGATGTGAATATCAGGTGTTGTCCTCAATCATTGTCAGTGTGGCTATTCAGTCGTAATTCTAAACCAAAACTCACTGAAGAGTTTTTTATGAAATTCAAGTCAGCAACAAGAGATTAAGACAAGTTGTGTTAACCCTCAAAGATGACCTTGAACTTCTGACCCATTTGCCTCTACTTCCTAAGTACTGAGTTTACAGGTTCAGACAATTACACCTGACTCAAACAAGTTTTAAAATCAAACACTCTAACCCAATACAACCCAAAGATACACTAATTTGATACTTCAATACTGACAAATGGTGGTAAAGTGTTTGGGTTTTGTGATTGCAATATGTGTCTGTAAGAGCAGAAAGTTTTATGTACAGTAAAACACTTGTAGTAACAACTGAATCTGAACTGAGGCATTTCAGGTATTGTCATCTCCTGGCACAGTGGCATCTACAGTGCAGAGTGTAGATGCTGTATGTTCAGACCCAAGGCTCTGCAGTGCAGTCCTTACACTTAGAAATAGTTGGATTGTTTTTTTCTGTACTGAGCCATTGAGTCAATTATAGAAATTTTAGTTTTTTTCAGAAGTTTGTAACATTATAATTTATTTAGTTGAAATACAAAAAAAGATTGACAATTTGGTGTATTGCCTATACATACAGTATATGTAGGACATTAGTGTGTTGCTGTGTAGAGACTTCCTTTTGAGATTTGTAGAATAACTGATGGAAGTTGAAATACCTAACACTTGATTGTTAAGGTGCTCGTTGTATTGTGTAAAATGACAGGTGGTTTATGAATTAAGGCTGTCCTTCCTGAACCAGGTGGCAGTGTTCGTGATGATCACACTGAGCTTTGCTGGTCCCTTTTGGACCCCACCTGATAATCAAAAATTATTCAGGATCTTACTGCTCAGAGTTTGAAAATGAATTTATTGCTTATGGAATATTTATATGTGGTCAACACTTTTAATATTGTTCTATCTAGTGTATAATTTATTGGAATACGCATTCTCATAGAGTGGACTGATGATTATAATGTCTAACCATCAAGTGAATACAAATCACAGATGCAATAAGATTATAACTTATAGTTTCTACATTATTTATGCTGGTGAGCAATTCTGTTGTCCTTAATACAACTATTTTACTGTGATTGCTGTTTTTAGGCTCCTGGGTTTGGATTTGGAATTGCAATATCTGGTGGAAGAGACAACCCTCATTTTCAGAGTGGGGAAACCTCCATAGTGATTTCTGATGTGCTAAAAGGAGGGCCAGCTGAAGGACAGCTACAGTAAGTGCAGCCTATCCGTCTTGTGTCATGTGTGTCTCCTGTTCCTTCCCACACTCACTGTTCTTGTCCTTAGTCATGGATCTGTTTTATTAGTGATTCCAGTTAGCACACCCAACTCGTGCTGTACTTATTTAGTATTTCCCCTCAAGGGAATATGCTCTTGCGCTCAAGAAATGTTTATCAATGTTGCAAGGAGGCAGCGAGAGAGAGAGAGAGAGAGAGAGAGAGAGAGAGAGAGAGAGAGAGA